GACCTTAGTAACTGCCCATGGTATAGTATGCACCAGGCCTCAGCAACTGCCTATGATATAGTATGCATCAGACCTCAGTAACTGCCTATGATATAGTAAGCATCAGGCCTTAGTAACTGCCTATGATATAGTATGCATCAGGCCTCAGTAACTGCTTATGATATAGTATGCATCAGACCTCAGCAACTGTCCATTATATAGTATGCATCAGACCTCAGTAACTGCCTATGATATCGTATGCACCAGGCCTCAGTAACTGCCTATGATATATTATGCATCAGACCTTAGTAACTGCCTATGATATAGTATGCATCAGACCTCAGCAACTGCCCATTATATAGTATGCATCAGACCTCAGTAACTGCCTATGATATAGTATGCATCAGACCTTAGTAACTGCCCATGATATAGTATGCACCAGGCCTCATTAACTGCCTATGATATATTATGCATCCGACCTTAGTAACTGCCTATGATATAGTATGCATAAGACCTTAGTAACTTCCCATGATATAGTATGCATCAGACCTTAGTAACTGCCTATGATATAGTATGCACCAGGCCTCATTAACTGCCTATGATATATTATGCATCAGACCTCAGTAACTGCCTATGATATAGTATGCACCAAACCTCAGTAACTGCCCATGATATAGTATGCATCAGACCTCAGTACCTGCCCATGCTATAGTATGCATCAGGCTTCAGCAACTGCCCATTATATTGTATGCATCAGACCTCAGTAACTGCCCATGATATAGTATGCATCAGGCCTCAGTAACTGCTCATGATATTGTATGCATCAGACCTCAGTAACTGCCCATGATAGAGTATGCATCAGGCCTCTGTAACTGCCCATGATATAGTATGCATCAAGCCTCAGTAACTGCCCATGATATAGTATGCATCAGACCTTAGTAACTGCCCATGATATAGTATGCATCAGGCCTCAGTAACTGCCCATGATATAGTATGCATCAGACCTTAGTAACTGCCCATGATATAGTATGCATCAGACCTCAGTAACTGCCCATGATATAGTATGCATCAGACCTCAGTAACTGTCCATGGTATAGTATGCATCAGACCTCAGCAACTGCCCATTATATTGTATGCATCAGACCTCAGTAACTGCCCATGATATAGTATGCATCAGGCCTTAGTAACTGCCCATGATATAGTATGCATCAGACCTCAGTACCTGCCCATGATGTAGTATGCATCAGACCTCAGCAACTGCCCATTATATAGTATGCATCAGACCTTAGTAACTGCCCATGATATAGTATGCATCAGACCTCAGCAACTGCCCATTATATAGTATGCATCAGACCTCAGCAACTGCCCATTATATAGTATGCATCAGACCTCAGCAACTGCCCATTATATAGTATGCATCAGACCTCAGCAACTGCCCATTATATAGTATGCATCAGACCTCAGCAACTGCCTATGATATAGTATGCACCAGACCTTAGTAACTGCCCATGATATAGTATGAGTCAGACCTCAGTAACTGCCCATGATATAGTATGCATCAGACTTCAGTAACTGTCCATGGTATAGTATGCATCAGACCTCAGCATCTGCCCATTATATTGTATGCATCAGACCTCAGTAACTGCCCATGATATAGTATGCATCAGGCCTTAGTAACTGCCCATGATATAGTATGCATCAGACCTCAGCAACTGCCCATTATATAGTATGCATCAGACCTTAGTAACTGCCCATGATATAGAATGCACCAGACCTCAGTAACTGCCCATGATATAGTATGCATCAGACCTCAGTAACTGCCCATTATATAGTATGCATCAGACCTTAGTAACTGCCCATGATATAGTATGCATCAGACCTCAGTAACTGCCCATGATATAGTATGCATCAGACCTCAGTAACTGCCCATTATATAGTATGCATCAGACCTTAGTAACTGCCCATGGTATAGTATGCACCAGGCCTCAGCAACTGCCTATGATATAGTATGCATCAGACCTCAGTAACTGCCTATGATATAGTAAGCATCAGGCCTTAGTAACTGCCTATGATATAGTATGCATCAGGCCTCAGTAACTGCTTATGATATAGTATGCATCAGACCTCAGCAACTGTCCATTATATAGTATGCATCAGACCTCAGTAACTGCCTATGATATCGTATGCACCAGGCCTCAGTAACTGCCTATGATATATTATGCATCAGACCTTAGTAACTGCCTATGATATAGTATGCATCAGACCTCAGCAACTGCCCATTATATAGTATGCATCAGACCTAAGTAACTGCCTATGATATAGTATGCATCAGACCTTAGTAACTGCCCATGATATAGTATGCACCAGGCCTCAGTTACTGCCTATGATATATTATGCATCCGACCTTAGTAACTGCCTATGATATAGTATGCATAAGACCTTAGTAACTTCCCATGATATAGTATGCATCAGACCTTAGTAACTGCCTATGATATAGTATGCACCAGGCCTCATTAACTGCCTATGATATATTATGCATCAGACCTCAGTAACTGCCTATGATATAGTATGCACCAAACCTCAGTAACTGCCTATGATATATTATGCATCAGGCCTCAGTAACTGCCTATGATATATTATGCATCAGACCTCAGTAACTGCCTATGATATATTATGCATCAGGCCTCAGTAACTGCCTATGATATATTATGTATCAGACCTCAGAAACAGCCTATGATGTAGTATGTATCAGACCTTAGTAACTGCCCATGATATAGTATGCATCAGACCTCAGTAACTGCCCATGATATAGTATGCATCAGACCTTAGTAACTGCCCATGATATAGTATGCATCAGGCCTCTGTAACTGCCCATGATATAGTATGCATCAGACCTCAGTAACTGCCCATAACACAGTATATAGCTTACCTCAATAACTGTCCACGATACAGTATATATCAGCCCTCAATAACAGCCCATAACACAGTATGCGTCAGAACTCTAGTGTACCCAAATTTACCTCATATCACCCCTTCTCCCATGGGCACGCCATATGTCAACATGATCGTGGGTTCGAATCCTGGTTAGCCCCGATTATTCTTCTAGGTTTGTCAGCACCATACACGTGCTCGTGGGTTTTAAAAAAGTGCCAAACGTCTGAGACCCGGACTTTCCTCCCACATTAAGCTGACACGCCATGATGTTTATAACTGGAATACTGTTTAAAGCGCAGTTAAATAAACTCATAACCCAGGTATGTGTATGTGTTTTATGACAGTGAAATGGTCCGTGCATCTGAAGCGGAATGTTTGTATACAAAATACCCCATACTTGTCCTACAAGAGGTAACAATATACACAATGTCAAATAGCAACTTCCGCGTCATAATATTGCAGGTTACAGGGTACATAACGCATTCACTCACAACCATTATTTGAGGGTATGGACACTCGCCATTTGCCACGTTGTTGTGTTGTCCTATATAGACAGACCGGGGTGTCTCCGTTGCCCGATTTGCTGACTTGTCGTGATTCACAAGTTTAATGTACGATTTGTTTGAATTGGAAAAGAAATGGCTCGTACACATGGATAAATAAACATAACACAGAGGTACCTGCTGGACCTAGACTGTTTCTACATGGATAAGCACATGTGTGACGCCTGCATCTTTCAGCCATTTTGAATAATTCTAAGCCTGGATTTCATCGGTCTTTTCAGTGCAGATCGCATGTAGGCTACTCTTTCTACGGAATAGGATCTAATACTCTACCTTCTTGGATGAGTGAAATGTTTGACTCTTTTTGTTTGATTTCCAAGCTGTCTTGACGTTATCAAATACGACAACACCACAGAAAGGGGGCGATGTGCGAGTATGATACGCCATGTCGCATTTAGTAGATGTATGATTTTCGTTGGCAAAGAATGAGTTTTAATTCAGACTTCATGTGCATGTAAAATGTTGAATGAATCTGGTAATTTCTTATGGGTACAGCTATTTGAGCTCGTTCTTGTTGTCATAAAGACCCTTTTGGCATTCTATGTATAGAGGTACAAATGAGCCCAATAGACCGCGTTTTTAGACATTTTCATTAAACAATATTTCAATAAGTAAGGTGTGACATGGGGTTTAACATCGCGTCCAAGATTATTGCACTTATACAGCGACGTGCATGTACGTCTGTGTGCGTGTGGATGCTTGTGCAAGTCCGGACTAATTAGGAGATAAACATACTGTGTTTTCAATGTAGAGCTAGGTTCCCTGTAGATTTAACCCCGCTAAATTTAACATTTGAAACCTCACGCTGCGCGTTCGGTTCCAAATTCAATTTAGCGGGGTTAAATCTACAGGTAACCTAGCTCTACATTGAAAACACAGTATGTTTATCTCCTAATTTTAACCTTCTAGCCCACTGAGATGCCATGCCGCAGTTTAACATGAATACCCCACTCAGACACAGTATACTGACTCCGAGCCGACCGCTCGTTGTTTTAGCCCCTTAATGCCGAGGGCCTGACAGGGTAACAACAAGTACCATCTTTTAACGTCTTTTGGAAGTTTTGGTATGACGCGGCCGGGGTTCGAACCCCGGACATTCCGCTATCCGGATGGACGTTCTACTACTAGACCACGGAGGCGGTCTGCAATAAATGAACGCAACATGTTTTGGCACTAGTTAAATGCAGAACTAACATATTAAAAATAATAATGGGTAATGGTATTGATCATATTACGATGTTCTCGTAATATTGCCAAAAGCGGCGTTAAACCGTACTCACTCACTCATTTAATTACATGAGGTGGCGGGTGAGGCTGGGGGTGTCAGAGGTTTTTGATGTACTGAATATATAGTGATCCTCCCACAATACATGTCACACACACACACACACACACACACACACACTGCGCTATACCCAGGGAACCAGGCTGAAGCATTATTTTGACAAAGCTCGGCATGTCAGAGCTTCGCACACCGTGTTTGAAAAATAAACGCTGAGTGGAGCTTGCAAAGGCGGACCAAGAGGGTTGGGTCGTGGTCCTTGGGTCGTTTGGCGAGTGTATCAGCTGATTATTCTGCACCGTTGAATAAGAATGACGTGATGAGGCATTTGCATGCCAATGTGCACTCCTTGATGTTAAGATATTGAGGTGCAGGACTCAAGGTACTGTGTATAAGTATGTATCATTTTGTCACTGTCCATATCCTATGCGGGATGATGATAGCGAGTCAAAGTGCACTGCCGTGAAGTAAACTGGTTCCACGGTTGGTTCGCGCAGCAAGTTTAGCTCTTTGAGCATAGTCGTTTTGGTAGACAAGAGCCCAGTCAGCCGGGATATACAATTAATTAAAGGGCCACACAATTGTCAAGATTCAGTGAAGTGTACATACATTACGTTGTCGGTTACATCACTTTGTATGATGTATATCACTGTAAAAATTATTAGTTGACAGAATTCCGTTGATGCTACATTCATGCTGTCTCACAGATGCAGACACAATTAAGGGATATGGGTGGGGTGGGGTGTCACAGAGTATCTGTTCCTGGAGTGAAATTGTTCCTTTCGACTCTTTTCTGCCAGTGGAATTATTACCTTGGAACCGTTTTAATGACGAAAATTTTCCATGAAGCAATTGCACTGGCAGTATTTGTTCCGGATGTAACTAACTCCATGTGTAGCTGACCATTGTTGACATGTGCCCTTAATCACAGGAGTCTGTATCTAAAAATAGACGCCCTCATGCCTTCGGCTCACGTGTGGAGATGGTCATGAATATGCATGAGGGCGTCTATTTTTAGATACGGAATCCTGTGCCTTAATTAGTACCCTGACCCATGAAGATCCGGGGTAGAATAGGTCTTCAGCAACCCATGCTCGACGTAAAAGGCGACTATGCTTGTCGTAAGAGGCGACTAACGGGATCGGGTGGTCTGACTTGCTGACTTGGTTCATGCATGTCATTGTATCCCAATTGCGTGGATCGATGCTCATGATATTAATCACTGGATTGTCTGGTCCAGACTGGATTATTTACAGACCGCCGTCATATAGCTGGAATATTGTTGAGTGCGGCTTTACACAACAAACAAACAACCAACCTTAGTACACATGTCAACAAGTCAAATGTCAGATCTTAAAAGATATGAGTTGTTGTTACCGTGCCTGGTGCTTGGCATTGAATGGATGAAACAAGTATAGGTCACTTGGAGACAATCTAATGTGTGAGTGGGATGTGCATGTTATACTGCAGCATGGTATCCCAGTGGACCAGTGCCAAAAAAACCTGACCTGAGTCTGGGCTAGCACACAAATGTACATGTGCGTTGCTATATGGGTGCTATGACCTTGAATCTGACGTTAAACCCCATTTCACCTCACTTGACTTGACTCAAAGCTGGAGTGTTCTGGTGCTGTGCAGTTGTGGCAGAGGAATAAAAGGTGGTTGGTGTGGAGATTAAGTTAATTGACATCTTGCATCTTATTTCTTCCAATATAGATATTATGGAACACAACACAATGTACATATAGATATAATCAATATGCATGAAATTCATGAGAAAAGTTCTATAACAAGGGTATTTTGTTATATATTTTGATACATAAACATTTGGAAGGCAAACATTTTATGAAATTCTGAGTTACAGAATGCCATGATCCTGGTCTCTTTTTTGGGTTTTGCTACCTTTAAAAAGAAAGTTGATGAATGTAAATGTGTAACAAATTCATGACAAAATATTTGGCATTCTTAATTACGTACAATAGACTATGATTACCGGTATAACAAACTCAAAGGGACCACTAATGTTACTTTGTTATAACGGTAGTTTGTTATAAGCATATATACAGTGAATGGATTGGACAAAGAACGGTTTGTTATCTCCGTCAGTTCGTCATAAGCATGTTTTTTCTTAACGTAGTTTTCTGTATGTTGTTTAGAGTGCTATATATTTTGTTTTGAAGTTGTAATTCATTTACATTCATCAAACTTTCTCTTTAATGGTAGCATACGCCAAACCTGAGACCAGCAGTTGACACTATTTAGGAGTGGCGCTCCTTGACTTGACAGGGCTTTTTGAGCCATTGAGTATTGTAAATCTGGAAGGTTTTGTGCTATGAAATTATTGCGAGTAACTGACAATAGCCTTAACAGCATCTGGAAAGTGTTGTTACTCCTTGTGGAGGAGATTACTAACGGTATAAGTGTTATTTTTTATGAGTAGGATTTTTGTTTGTTTGTTGTTTAATGCCACACTCAGCTATATTCCAGCTATATGACCTCCTGATTGTTGGCATATGTACATAGACATTACTTTTTAACTTTGTCACAGTGCCAGTGAGCAACTGTCGATGGATATTAGGCGCTTTACAAATCAATTATTATTATTATTATTATTATTATGATGGTGGTCTGTAAATAATCAAGTCTGGACCAGACAATCCAGTGATTGAGATCATGAGCATCGATCCACGCAGTTGGGATACGATGACATGCATCAACCAAGTCAGCAAGCCTGACCACCCGATCCTGTTAGCCGCCTCTTACGACACTTAGTCACTTTTTATGGCAAGTATGGGTTGCTGGAGATGTATTCTACCCTGGATCTTCATGTTTTTTCGTGTGTAGGAAACGGTGAGATAAAAAGCTTTTCTTGAAAGTATAGATGCCTGCGATGTTGTAGTTCACAAAGTAGGTTGGAGTGGCGTGTTCATCTAACTGTATTTGATTTTATTTATGTCGTTTTATGAGTGAGTGAGAATGGTTTTACCCCGCTTTTAGCAATATTCCAGCAATATCCTGGCAGAGGACACCAGAAATGGGCTTCACACATTGTACCCATGTCAGGAATCGAACCTGGGTCTTCGGCGTGACAAGCGATCACTTTAACCACAAGGCTACCCCACCGCCCCTTCGCATCAGGAAACTATTGCAAGTGTGTGTCACTCTCATTTTTTTTAATACTTTCCTACTCACAAAGTTTTGGATTTACAGTATTTACTCACAAATAATTTTTTAATTTGAAGTTAACACGATATACGGCTTTTCCATTTGAGAAGAGGTCGGTCACATGACCGCGAAATTGACGTTCATAAGTGTATGAACGACACAATTTGACGTTCATACGTTTTTTACGAGATCGTGTTCTTGAAATGACGTCAACACTGACGGACTACTTCCACATTCATGGGGAACCCCCTGGGAATACCCTAGCACGAATAAAATACATAAGTGTCCTTTCTGATCATTTAGAACCTTTATTCTTGGTCTCAGCGTTTCAGTATACAGTGAGAAAATATCAGAGAGCGTGACTGCATGATTGTTCACGAATATCCTCGCTGCGTCCTATCCTAATGAACAAACGAAGAAATGCATATCTTAACTATCGTAGTATCTGTTGTGCAATGGGGACTAGAACGATAGGCTAGCAGAAACCTATCAATCTTCTTCTGTAATGTTGCATCATCCCCTCTAGTTGATTCCATAGCTTGTTTGAAGGATTGAACAGCTCTCTCAGCAAGTCCGTTTGTAGCAGGATGATATGGAGCAGATAAGATGTGTTTTACACCATTACTTCTCAAGAATGTTTCAAACTCATTTGACACAAATTGTGGACCATTATCTGTAACAACTTGCAGTGGTAATCCATATTTCGCGAACAAACCTCTCATCACTTTCACTGTCAGCATCATCAGCAGTAGTTGAATTCATAACAATCACCTCTAACCATTTGGAATGAGAATCTACAACAATGAGGTACATGTGACCCATGAAAGGACCAGCAAAGTCCAAATGAATGCGACACCATGGTTTTGATGGCCATGACCAATGATGAACAGGAGCTTTTGTTGGATCATTTTGAAGATTCTGGCATGTAATACACATTCTTGCAGTACTTTCAATATCAGCATCTACTCCAGGCCACCACACATAACTTCTAGCAACTGATTTCATTTTCACCATTCCAAAATGACCACCATGTAACTCATTTGGAACACCGTTTCTGAGTTTAGAAGGAATCACTACTCTCATTCCCCATACAATGCATCCTAATTGAATGGAAAGCTCATATCTTCTTGAGTGAAATGGTTTCATTATTTTGTTCTCACTGTGATCTTTATCCCAACCGTTCATCACTGCCATGTACACTTGTGAAAGAACAGGATCTCACCTTGTCTCATTTCTCACATCACTTGCTGTAATAGGCAGATGTTCAAACTGACTTGCATAGAACAAATCTACATCATCACTCACACATTTTGTTGTATCAGGTAGAGGTAAACGAGACAACACATCAGCATTTGCATTGGCAGAGGAAGATTTGTACTGAATTTTGTAATCATATGCACTGAGAATCAATGCCCATCTCTGTAGACGAGCAGCAACTAATGATGGTACTGACCGTCCCTCACCAAACAGGGCAGTGAGAGGTTGATGATCTGTCACGAGTGTGAAATGCCTACCATACACATACTGATGAAATCTTTTCACACCAAATATAATTGCTAGGGCTTCTCTGTCAATTTGTGAATATCCCTCTTCAGCCTTGTTCAGTGTTCTTGAAGCAAATGCAATCGGTCGTTCAGTACCATCACTCATCACATGAGACAACACAGCACCCACGCCATAGGAGGATGCATCACATGCCAATGTTATTGGCAACAATGGATCATAATGACACAACACATCAGAACTTGCAATTTTTGCTTTAGACATTTTGAAAGATTTCTCACATTCAGTTGACCATAGCCATTTCTTGTCTTTCTGCAACAGTTCGTTTAACGGGTGAACGATTGTAGAAAGGTTCTGGATGAATCTGCCATAGTAGTTGACTCCACCGAGAAAGGAACGTAGTTGTGTCACATTTTCAGGTCTTGGAGCACTGATGATAGCTTTCACCTTATCTTCTGAAGTATGAAGTCCTTCTTTGTCAATAACATGACTGAGATATTTGACTGAGTCTACAAAGAATTTACACTTACTTTGTTTTACTCTCAAGCCGAATTGTTGTAATCTTGACAAAACTGCATCCAAGTTCTGTAAGTGTTCCTCATCATTTGAACCGGTCACTAGAATATCATCTTGATGACATAATACTTTCTGCAAACCTTGAAGAATTTGGTCCATAGTAGCTTGAAAAATTGCGGGAGCTGAAGCAATGCCGAAAGCAAGTCTTGTG